TGACGGCTCCCACCATGACGCGTCGATATTACTCATGACGCTGAGCTACAATCGTCAAGCACTGCAATATGCCTGTCGTTACATCAGTTCTTTCAGCTTTTTTATTGACAAGATCAGCGAAAGACACGTCTGTCTTAATCTCTGTACAGTTGTGGTTCCGAACAACTGGCATGTCAGCATAATGGAATGTACTTCTTTATAATGTATCAGAACGGACATCTGCACCAAGACTGTAAAAGTTTACAGCTATGTGCAAAGAGGGCTTCACAGTTCACAGTTATTAAAACAACAATATTTAGTCATGTAACATGTTCAATAAATGCAAACAAGTTCCTAATAAGCAAACAAAATATATACTCCGTGGCGTGTAGTCCGCAAGCGAACTATACCGACCGAGCGACCGCCGCTTGTCGGCGAAGTTAGTGCCAACTTTTGCTGATAGAGTGTGTCGCGTGGTCAGCCCAACGGATCCCCACGGCCGCTAATCTTGGTTTTCTAGACAGGAGCCACTATTTCCTTGAAATAGCTCCTCAATTTTCCTCACCAGGCTGATTAGACCCCGTTCCAGACCCACTACTTCTCAGAAAATCTTGTAGCGCCGGGAATTGAACCCGGGAACATAGTATCTGTAACCAGGAACTCTGACCACTAGACCACAGTAGCGGTCAACAAATACCATCTAGTACACTAATTAGTATATATTACATATAATTTCGTGTAATGCGTCGCGCATAGATGAACTATATTAAAAATATCAGGAGCTTTACCACTATGTCGGCTGTCTCCTTCCTGATTATCAGATTGAAATGACATTCTTCATTCTGCTTACAATAGAAGACATCTTCCACACAAACTCCATGACCTGCCTGGCAGCTCTCAGGAGGGGTTTGCCATCAAGTGAGGCGATGCGGTGCGAAAGCTCAGCGTGAGTTAGCCTACATGTTCCTATTTCTTTCATCGGTAAGTGCCTTGGATGTGGCATTGAGAGTCTAGCTTGTTAAAAAAGGCCCTCTCTTAAGGTCACTGCAGGAGGCCGCTCCTAACACAAGACTACAACCACAGTTACGTCACATAAGGCGAGATGTGTTAACACTATTGAAGAGTCGCTATTGGTTGCCTGCAGTGAACACACCGGCAGTCACTTGTCTCTGACATGTGATGGAGAGATCTTCGCTCAAGTTACTTCAAATTTCCTTCCTAGACTTGAATCCTGATATAATAAATTTATTGTCCATATTGCTTTACATTGTGAATTTTGTTCATAATTTTCATTCACAACATTAAAGAGCCTGCATACAATTTCAAACTCCCCCGTCACAAAGCGCTACCCGTACGGCTTCAGTATTGTGCCAGTAGGGCCTTGAAACCGCCCGTTTATCACGAACTGCAGCCTTTAGGCGGGACCTTTTCATTTGTGTGCGTATGGAAAATTTATGTGTTGTCACTCCTGTCATACCTGCAAGTTTCCATCTGATCGGCCGGTGCGCAAATTATGTCGCGAAAGTATTCGATCCGGCCCGCGGCAAATTTTCTGCTTTCTTCTTCTTATTATTATTATTTATTTAAACTGCAAATGGGATTTTGCGCGGTGGCAGTGGTACTACAATAAGACACAACACACAAATGACACACATCACACAAAATAACACACCAAACTCAAACAAAACACAGCACACAAAACTACACAAACAATGGACACACTAGCACACAGTGAATAAAATGAAAATACACTTACAACCCTTTCTTAATAATAGACGTACGACCCTTTGTTACATATTATTTATTTTACAGAAATATGTGTCCCGGTGTCCTCTATATACAAATTTAGTCCTCAGTCTCGAAGTTCTAACAATCAGCTGTAATAATCAACCTTGAAGAAGTCATATTAACCTCATGTACCGGAAAATAGTTTTAAATATGAACACCCACCATTATGAACACACGTTACCTGAATTGAGAGCTGAGATATGAAAATTGCTAAGGAAACATTTCAGTTTGTAACCAAACAGGAGCTGTACTGAGCCACCAATTTACTGGATTCCTTCGAACAGAATCTAATTGCTTTTGAATCCTTACTACCAGGGAAGAAAAACAAATATAGTCGAAGATTATTCACTATGCGTGGATGTTTACTGAAGTATGTTGACTGTACAGCCGCTGTGCAGGAAGTGCAAGACGTTTCGGATGTCGAGAAAGATTTGAACCAAAATACAGGACCAGATTTTACATTCTGCTAATAATCAGATAACATATTCGAAAACACTGGACAATGAAATAATATTTGATGGTTTTCTTTGGCAAACTTCATAAAAGTCAGCGTACTGGCGAGAGAGACTTGTGCTAACTATGCACCCACTATCTCTTCGGCAATTAAATACAACGCTGATATAGAAAAATCGAATTGTCTACAGTACAGTGACAAGATGACTTTCAGAATTTAATATATGGTTTAGATATATATTTCACAGGTAAATTATCTGTTAGCTTTATTATCCCGTAAATTCCATCCGGATTCTTGGATTCCAGCTGGTCGTCTCGGAAACGTGCTTCAACAAGCCGTTGCTTAGCAATGGATTTACATGTCACAATATAATAGTTCTGCTCCATTTCATTATTAAAACCGTGTTGCATTTAACAGAATTCAACCCGAATTTTACTTACATGCTATGCCGTAATTTGCATGGAGGGACTGAGAAAAACCACGAGGAGCGTTGTTAGAATTTACATTACATTTTACACATATGCCTACATGAGTTGTCTCATACGATTTAAGAATTCCTAAGATGAAATAACTAAATTACGTAGGACTTGAGGTTCTCACAGAGATGGCTATGATGTGTTCTGTATTGTGGGATATGACGCCGTATAGACCGCTGCAAGTCTACCGGTGTTTCGGAGGAACATTTCGCCTCTATCTTCAGGGTAGAAGTATAAGCCAAGCAAGAAACCAGCGTCAAGCAGGTATGAAGCAAAGCCTGCTTTCTCTGGTTGGTTACTGCTTGCTTCTGCGAAACCTCACTTCACTTTCATATTCGAGAAGATAGAACTGACTCTTGAAACAGAATGACGTTGGAGACGTGATGTTGGTTACGCTGGTGGTGATGTCCTTTATGCCGATGTTTTATTTTCAGAATATAGTGCGTCTCCGAATGTCGTGTTTCCCACAGGCAACTATATCCTCGATATGCTCATTGTTTGTGTTAAACCCTTAAACAGATCTGCTTTTGTTGGCTGCAGAAAGCATATTTCAGGGCTGAAGGCCATATTTTAATCTGACTAGACACCGATTGTGTGCGGAAGTGACACGCAATGAAGCCTGCATCCTACCAGTGAATGGACCTGAATAATTGTTACAGCTAATTTAGTAGTTTCACAAATTTCGGCGCTTTTCGCAAATCTTCAAAGCAGAGCTTATGCTCTGGTCTCTCTCTCTCTCTCAGTAAAACTGAACACTTGAGATATGCTTCAAGGAGTGCATCCTCTTCTGTTCTCAATATATATATATCTATCTATCTATCTATCTATCTATCTATCTATCTATCTATCTATCTATCTATCTATCTATCTATCTATCTATCTATCTATCTATCTATCTATCTATCTATCTATCTATCTATCTATCTATCTATCTATCTATCTGTCTGTCTGTCTGTCTGTCTGTCTGTCTGTCTGTCTGTCTGTCTGTCTGTCTGTCTGTCTGTCTGTCTGCCCGTCTATCTATCTATCTTTCTGTCTGTCTATATTTGTTTTTTCCGTCGACGCAACAAATCTACTACCAAATAATTCGTTTACAATTTTATCGTGTTAATTGTGCGTTTATTTAGGTTAAAAGCAGAATTTCGCTACGTGTTTCGGCTTGTCATGAAGCATGTAGCGAATTTTTTAACCGAAATAAACATAGAGTGAACACGACAAAGTGTGAGCGAACATATAGACAAGAGATGTTATTTTAGCGTTCACGAGAGTGGCGGATCGCGGAATGTAAATGTCAGAATCCGCCACGTGAACTTGTGGCTGTTTTTGTGAATGCATTTTCGCTTAACCGTTGCACTGTAATCAGACGTGCACCACGGGTCTGATACTTGCACAGATATCCGATACGGATATTTGGATTAAGATATGCTTTTTAGAATGGTAAATTAGATGATCTATTCTGTTTAATAATAACTACCCATTACAGTTGTACACATGTGAAAATATTTTATAGAATATTTTTGTGTGCGTTGTGACTTACGTGTTAACATTCTACCTTGAAGGTTATTATTTTCCCCAAAGAAAAAAACGGAGACCAGCCTTTACAAGGCTGTAACATGTGTATTTATCCTGGGTATCGCACATCAGTTATTAAATATCGGAGAAAATAAACGTGTTCACACAAAGCAACTGATGCTACAGCGCCCTCGTGGAGAAGCCGACACTTGACAGTTCGGACAAAGATACAGTATCGTGTTCACGGAGTTCAGTGATTGAATCCACTCCACACCGTCACAACCTAGGTCTTTGCTTCTTTCAAGTCGGTTTTAATACCATTCTTCCACCTTAGCCTGGGCCTTCCATGTCGACCCCTTCTTTCACATCTGCGCACCAAAATTTACTCTCTTTAGGATTTGAGGTTATAACAGCGTTTTTTTTTAGGAAGATGTGTCTTCTGGAATGTCGCGTCATGCAGTCCGTTGAAAATCAACCAACTTTTCGGAGGAATATGTCACTCCATCTTCAGCATCAACGAGTAAGCCAAGCGAAGAACCAGCATGAAGCAGGTACAAATTTCTGCTTAGCTTATTCACTGACCGTGAAGAAGGAAGCGATATGTTTCTCCGAAAAGTCGATTAATTTTCAACGGATTCAAAGACATTATATGCAGAGGATGAAAGTCTTCCTCATGTACCCATTCATGCTACACACCTCGCCAATCTTTATCGTAATATTGTCGGGTGAAGGGTACAAATTATGAGGTTGTAGACAAATCGCTCAAAAGCCCTGGAATCGTGTGTTTTCAGACACTTGTGCCGCGAGGGTGGCGTAGATCTTGCCTGCCTTGCCCACTTATTGACAAGACGAGAGAAGAAGCCGCTGGGCATTCAACATGAAGATTGCTTACATTGTGCTCAAAGGCTTTTGTGCTGTCGGTACCAATTATCCGTTACAAAGGGGACAGCTTCTGTGTTCCACATGGAGGATCTCCATTGTTCACGAAGGTAAATGTTGGCCAGCATCTTGAGGAACATTTGTCTCCAGCAAGGAACTAAACGGAGTTGTCAGTGTCAGAGTGAATAAAAGTGTCATAAATATTTTTATCCGGATTTAAATAAGCTCTGGATGTCAAGCGCTGGAATCTTACTGTGAAGGCTCGGGTTCAGTTCTGGCTTATTCCATTTAGACTAATTGTGAACGAAGTGGCACGGGAGAAAGTTTTCTCGGAGTTTTTTTCTTCTGGATTTTTCTTGCATACATAATTTCACCACTGGTCCATAATTATGTATCGCAGCGTCGTGAGATCTGCTGGAGTCCTGCTTAAGCACCATATTGTCATATCCTGCTTCTTCACGTTCAGGGCTTCGAATCTGATCAGGAAACTGGGCAGTTAACAGTTCCGCTGACATATCAAAAACTGCTGTAAGGCAGGGCAATACGATAACCAGCATCAGGACACAGAAGAGATCAGAAAAAGTTGTTTATAATTAAAGCTACATATTTAATATTATTATTTAATACTAATATTACATTTAATTATCATAATATTGCAATTATAATTGTTTGGGAAAATTACGTGATGCGGAAATTTATAGCTTATAGGTTTACTGTTCACCTAATGGGGCACGCGATAGCGTAGTTGGTTGAGGCACTATGCTACAAGCCGGAAGGTCGCGGGATCGAATCCCGACGAGGTGGATCTTTTCAATTTACCTAATCCTTCCAACCGCACTATGGCTCTTGCGTCGACTCAGCCTCTGACAGAAATCAGTACCAGGAATCTTCCTGGAGGTAAAGGACGCCCGGTGCGTAAGGCTGACAGCTCCACCGCCATCTGTGAGCCGATTGTCTAGAAAATGTGAGAACCTCGATCTCTCACAACCCCACGGGCCTCCACGGCCTGTTACAGGGACACCTTTACCTTTTACTGTTCCTCTAATATTGTTAAAATGTCGTAGTCGGGAAAGGTGGGAAATGCAATCATAGTTCTGTTCTGAAATCCTCATCGGAATAGATAGCCTTGTTGAGTGTGTGATAATGAGAGAACAATACGATATTTACAACCGAAAAATTTGGCATGATGTTATAAGCTTTTCAAGAAAGATCCTACAATGTAGACAGGATTTTGTGTTACAATTATTATCTCACCTTTTCCTTGATAATTTCAATCAAACAGCAATCTTCTACCACATTTTAATAGCAAATAGTGGTAACAATTCTTAAATCTCTGAAAGAATAGTGCAAGAAAAAACTGGCACGGTTGAAGGGAGCCAATGCGATTCAAAATGTTGCCAGTAGGCGCCACAAGACTAGAGGTCTTCCTTGAAAATCGATTATTTGAGTCATCACGTGCCAATAGTCGTCGAGATATAGCAGATAGGTTCCACCAGTATTCAATAGATGGCAGAGTGACCTAGGAACACTCTCGCTCTGTTGACAATAGTTGGAATTATGACAACGGCGAGCCCGGAGTTTGACGCGTTAAAGCTGCAATTATCACCGGAAAAAAAAGTATGTAGAAGTGTAGGATTAGAGATTCCCTCAGCAGTGGTCGTGAAAGTCAACCAGCGTTACGGAAAAACATGTCGCCTCCAACTTTATCATCGAATGAGCAATATATGGTAATATGGTAAATTTTGCTGCACAATCTGGGTACTTTCGGATTCAAATGTTGGCGCCAGTAGACCTTCAAAATGGACGAGATAATGTCACAAAGGAGGCATAGTATAAATAAGTTAAATAATTCTGTTCAGTTATGCGTATATAGGCGGTGTATATAGTGAAGGATGTGTTCACATTAAAGCTAAATGTAACGATAGTGTATTACTTCCATCAAAATACGCATTTTAATAGATGTTATGCGTCTTCTATTGAGTGCAAGCTCATTCTGTGTTCGTAATTTCTAATAGGTAATACAATGTATTTGTAATCTGCAAATGATTGGATGTTTGCCTACACATAGATTTGCGTTGGAAGTGCGTGTTATAATGTTTGTGATCAAGATGGAATTGTATTGGGTACTCGAACGGAATGTAAGAAAGTGACAACGAAGTTTGTACATAGGGCCATAGGGCCAGCCCACACAGCTTTGACGGTCGGACAGTTTTTGACAAGCAACAGCATGGTGATTGTGCCTCATACACCTTACTCACCCGACCTGGCTCCGTCGGACTTTATTTTGTTTCCACGGATGAAGAGAAGTCTGAAAGGAAAGCGATTCCGTGATGTGGATGAAGTCAAATAAAACACGCTAAAGCCTTTGAACAGTATCCAGCCTCAAGAATTCCAGCACTGTTTTGAGCAGTGGCAAAAGCGTTGGGACAAGTGCATTAATGCACATGGACAATACTTTGAAGGGGACTAATATACAGTTCAATAAAAATGCAAAAATAAAAAATAAAAATAAATTCCGGTTATTTTTGGGTCCCCCTTCATATGCATCTCTTGTTCGCGTGGAACGAAATGTGTGCATCGTGTTGACTTTTCTGAGAGGGATGAGTTTTGAATAGATAGAACCCAAGCAACTTTATGTATCATTATGCATAGGAGAACTATCCAAGTACCTGGAGGTGAATGCTGTGGCGGTGTTCCAGCTCATGCCAAAAGGGAGCGGTAAACGGGAAAGCTGTTGATTCCCATCTTTATGGACTTCGAACAGACCTGTCAGAGAGATTATGATTCCGAAGATTGGTCACTCGCACATGAATGAAATTGTGAGTTTTTATGTTTCCAAACTTGGGATTTGTTTCATCTTTCGGTTCACTGTGTTTGCAGATTTTTTTATTGAATTATTTATTGAAAGTGTTGTGCTGTGAACGGACATGTGAAACTCTAAGAGCAACAGAAGATAATTGTGAAATTTAAAAAGGGCAATTCGGATCTCCAAATCCAAAATTTATTTTCCTGTTTCAAGACGCTGTCATTATTTTCTTTCCCATACATTTAGCAGGTTGAGAGATGTTTGTTTGTTGACAGTTTCAGATTCATTTTTGGAACACTTTGTCGTGAGGATTAATACTGTAGACAGAATTTTGTAGAAGAAGACTTGAGTATAATTTCATATGTTGACTGATATAAAATATCACAGAAATTAACATGGACTAAGGGTGCTGTTGAACTTGGATGTGAATTATCTGTCATAAATATTTGTATCTATATACAGAGCCCCCACAAGTGGTTTTGAAGTTTTTGTAAGCAAATTAGAAATGTTAAACAGCCCTTGTTATCTGAGGTGACAGACACTCTGATTATGTTAATGAAATTCATCACAAACAATATACAGATACTCTGCTACCACCATTTTAACCTACAAGAATAGTTCATTTTCTGGCAATATAAGCATAGATTCAGTGATAGATATATTTACCTGATCGTGATGCTAAACTACATTTTTGGTGTGACAGACACCAGGGTGTAGTTTCCTATCTGACCTCTAAATATTAGATGTGTGAGTAAGTTAGAAGACAGCATGACATACATGTTTTGTTTGCATCAGTGTAAGTACTTGTAAGAAGACAGAGTTTAAGTGAAGTCCAAGTTGCCATTGGAGAAGATGTTCTTGTTTTTACATCTTCTTCTTCTTCTATGGCGCAACAGCCCGATGTTGGGCCTTGGCCTCCCTTATCAAGGCCCTCCATTCCTCTCTATTCTGCGCTGCTCTCTTCCAGTTCCTTACGCCCATTAACTTCTTTGCATCTTCTTCCACCGCATCAATCCATCTAGTTCTTGGTTTCCCAGCACGTCTCCTACCACCTATTGTACTGTATAATATTCTCCTTATCCATTCTGTGTACATGCCGAGCCCATTGCAATCTTTTAAGCTTTATCGTCACTGAGATCTCTGGCTCCTTATATAATTTGTATAGCTCTTTATTATATCTTATTCTCCATATCCCATTCTCTTCTATTGGTCCATAAATTCGTCTTAGGATTTTCCTCTCGAAAGAATTGATGACTGATTCCTCTTTCTTGTTTAGTGTCCAACCCTCAGATCCATAATAAAGCACCGGTCTTATCGTTGTTTTATATATTTTTGTTTTAATCACTCGGTGTATATCCTTTGATCTAAAAACTGATAGTAACGAGAAGTAGCGATGGTGCCAAACTATCACCCTGTTTTAATCCTTGGTTTGTCTTAAAGCATTCTGTTAACTGGTTCTGAATTTTAACTTGATTGTTTCTGTCATGGTTAATTTAATTATTCTACTTAGTTTTGTTGGAATACCAAAAGTGGACATAATCATCGTTAATTTATTCCTTATTATTGTATCAACTTAGCTTCCTGTGATGGGTATAATGTGTGAAGTTGTGGTTGGAAGACTGTTGAGTGATGTACCTTTTTCAGATGAAAGAATCAACAGTTTCCCTACTAATGAACATTTATTGTTGCATCAAAAATATATATGGTCATAAGAATATGGTGTCTATAGTGAAACACAAGGTAGGATTAATGACATTATTGCAGTCATGTGTCATAATTTTTTGAAAAATATGCACAGTTATGTGTTGAAATTGTGTCATAATGTATACAATAAGGGCAGTTGAATTTTATTTTGCAAATTCATTTATGGCGTGATACAGGATGGACTCTGATGTTATCACCCAGCCTTTCAAGATTACATGTATGGTTAAGTAGTATAGACCATCATATTACTGTTTTGTTTGCATCAGTAGAAGTGCTTGTAAGAAGATAAACTCAAAAAAAAAAAAAAATGCAGAATTCCTCTAGAGACAGTCCTCTAATCTCAGTTTATAGTTTTGGTATAATACGAATATACAGTGTTGTATGTTTTGTGTTGTAGTGTTTTCAAGTATTTAGAATTAAAGTGTCCATTCGTCTGCTAATCAGTTGGTGTGTATAGTGACACATATATTGTCATTGATGTAATTCTAATATTCGTATTTTATGACATTGTGAAAAACATGGACAGTGATGTTTACAGTGTGTAATGTAACACGCACTGTAATGGAAAGTGATTTATAATTTAGAAGTGTATTTTGGTGTTACACAGTGCATTGTATTCTACAGATCTAGTCTTCTAGGCTTACATGCCTGAGTAGATAGTGTGGAACATCACAGAATTACTTTTTTCACAATGATTGAAGGCTTATGAAATCACAGAATGTGTACTGTGAAGTACGGGTTGTGACTGATGATATTCTATTAATTGTATTGTATAGTTTGTTCTGGAATATATATATTTTGATGTGTAGATGTGTGTTTTAATGGTTACAAGAATCTCGAGTGGTATTTCCTCTGATCCAGAACAGAATCAATAATTTCCTGTTTATTATTTGAGAACTAGTAGTGTGGGGTAGATATCTTTCATGTAAAGAATTTTTAGACACCTTGTAGGTGCTTCACATATATTGTAAAATTGTCATAACCGGAATACTGCCAACTTTCGAAAAGAGAGTATTTCATGAGCTGTTGGAAATTGTAAGATCTAGTGTAATTAATTATGATGTCATAGACATGGTAACATTCTGGAAGATCAATACTCTAACCAATTGATTGATTGATGTAACCACCTCCTATAGTGATATCTTGTTACAATGGTAGATAATAAATATTGTCATCCTTTAAACTCTTCTACCCTGCATGTGGAGGCAGCATGTTCCTCCAAAATTTCCACCAGACTATACCGTGTCATATCCCAGAATGCAGCATCCCCCATAAACACCAGGTGAGAACTGTGTCTCACTTCAAGTGTACATCTGTCACTCTGGTGAGAGAAAACATAGATAAGATATCCTGAAAGATGTGATGTCTATTATGAATTTTGGGGTGTCATTTAAGCTTCAAGCTGTCATAGGAATGCGTTATTCATGTCCAAATCTGTGCGCTTCCATGCTGTAACATTTTCTGTATACCTTTATGATTTTTTACAAATTAATACTGCATGTCTAGCAATGACAGCATGCAGATGTGTTGCCAGAACTATAAAGCTCTATAGTTCTCAGCTGTGGCACTACCAGAATGAAGCTGCAGTGAAGAAAGAACCTCCAGTACTCAGCAGATAAGAAATGGGTTCCATGGCCGTTTTGGACGTGGCAATAAGATGAGAAATTTTTATGACCCCAACCAGTATTGAACTGCAGTTGTATTCACAAAGCCCTCACATTATTTAACTATGAAGACTCATTAGTAATTTAAGTTACTGTCTTATTGATTTTACAGTCAATAAAAAGATGATGGCCATACAAAAGGAAATATATTTTAGACACAGTTTGAATAATTACATCAGTTAATCAGTGCAAACACTGCATTTTTAAAAACATGCTGTTTTAACATCTAAAGCAGTTCAGTGGTTTGTATGTTATCTTTGCCCAAATCATACTACCACATACAGTGGCTGCTGTTCAGTATATACATTTATAATTAATCAGTCGCAGGTGAGGAATGATGTCCTAGAATGAAACAAACAGAAGAAATAGCGGCAGATAACTCTTTACTTGGTCACAGGAACATTTCCAAGTCCAATGCATGCAGTTGTAAACCTCCGCTATGGTAAGTATTTCATATATACATATGCACCACATGCAGACGCATATAATTATTTGCAACTACACTATACCTACCTACCTATTACTTGGCGCTACAGCACTGGGTGATCCTTGGCCTCCTCTACAACCAGTCTCCACAACCAATGCGTGCTGCCATAGAAATGGACCCACACATGATGACTCGAGTCTGGTTGTTTGGTTTCTGAACCAATTTCTTTTTACAGGAAGAGGTTGTTAACCTCATGCCCAACCCCCAACCTGGAGGACCAGGGTAACTGTCTTAGTCTGGACTTTATCCTTTGACATTTCCAGCATGGGTGACCTTACCAGTAGTTAAACTACCGTTGGCATAGCTCTTCAGGTCACAGTGTCATGCAAGCCCCACCACCTTGACAAGGTGGAGACAACTTTGGGGGGGAACTACATTATAAGTAAAACTTTCTATCACTGTTAAAATTTTAATGGGACATTCTATATATTACTTGCTCATGGAGCTGAGCCCTTCTTGAGGAGCTGCCAATTCTTCAGCCACTGAAGAATTTCCCAACATTTTATGGAACCCGAAGGTTCATTAGCGTGTTCACAAGAGCCCTCCACTGGTCCCCATCCTGAACCCGATCAATCCAGTCCTCACAATCCCATCCTATATCTTGAAGATCCATTTTAATGTTGTTCATCCACCTATGCTTTGGTCTTCCCAGTGGTCTCTTTCCTTCTAGCTTTCCTGCCAATATCCTATATGCATTCCTCGTCTCCCCCATTCGTGCTACATGCCCTGCCCACCTCATCCTCCTTGACTTGATCATTCTAATTCTACTTGGAGAATAGTAGAAGTTATGAAGCTCCTCATTATGCAGTTTTCTCCAACCTCCTGTCACTTCATCCTCCTTCAGTCCCAATATTCTCCTCAAACACCCTCAGTCTATGTTCCTCCCTTAATGTCAAAGACCAAGTTTCACATCCATACAGAACCACAGACAAAATTTTAGTATTGTTTATTCTAATTTTTATGTTTTTGGACAGCAATGAGAAGACAAAAGGTTCTGGACTGAATGGTTCAATCTCCTCTTAATTTCCTCCTCAGTCAGGTTTTGATTTGTTTGTTATGTTTGTTATACAAATTTGTTTGATACTTTTGTACCTGTATAACTGACAGCAACAAAATTATGGTGATATGAGTGCTTTTGCGCAGAATTTTTCCTAATTTGAGGGAAAGTGTGCTTAGAGATTCTCAAATATTGTTGGTTGGCAGTGGTCGTGGCAAATTATTCTTCTGCCGGCTAGCACTCTAGCCTTACTGGCCATTAAAGAAGATTCTGGAGAAAGCCTACACAAGATGGCAGTGGCCTTAACACAACAAGTGTTCCATGGCCCTTCGTATTGTGCTTATGTGATGGGTGATGGCAGCAACTTGGCATGGGATGTGATTGGAAGAGTGATTGCAGCTAGCCCAGTCCCTGTCAGTGGAGGTCACTGCCCTGGGTTTGCTGTGGGCATGTTTGTAGCGCAGAATGCAAGCATCATCACGGATATTATTATTTCTTCTCAACACTACCAACGGCTGCTGGTGCTGGTGAGTTTGGTAAATGCAGTATTACATCCAGTCTAAACGAATCCAAGTTACATAATCATATCAAGTTCCAGGCTGTAGTGATTTACACTGTAGTAGGACCTTAATGTTGCTAGGCATTATACTAAAAATGCTTACAGTATATTTATACAATCTACATGTGCTTACTTACTTACTCATGGAGCTGAGCCCTTCTTGAAGAGCCGCAAATTCTGCAGCTACTCAAGAATTTCCCAGCATTCTGTGGAACGCAGAGGTTCATTACTGTGTTCACAAGAGCCCTCTACTGGTCCCTATCTGAGCCACCATCCCATCCTATCTCTGGAAGATCCATTTTGATATTGTCCACCAACATATGCCTTGGTCTTCCCAGTGGTCTCTTTCCTTCTGGCTTTCCCACTAATATCCTATTAGCATTCCTCTTCTCCCCCATACGTGCTACATGGCATGCCCACCTCATCCTCGTTGACTTGATCATTCTAATTATACTTGGAGAAGAGTACAAGTTATGAGGACAGTGTACATGTACACTTGGCAAAATGACTTGGTGCAGTATTATGGTGTTTGCTGTATTCAGCTGTCTCATTATGGGATTCAGAGGCAGACTCTTGTGAAGACATTAATGCATCTTTTGCTATGATACAAGGCTCAGAACTTCTCAAGTAAACCTATAGTTGAAATTTCAGAATTACTTGTTGCTATTGCTGCAGTGTATTTTGATACATTTGCAGATCCCAGGCTCACTTCAGGAACTTCTGCATGAAGCACCCCTATTTGCAAACGTTTCAGTGTATGTGGTGGTGGCGAACTGCAGTTCAGTTTTTCATCTGATTTCACCACACCACCTCAGTTTCCAACATATGTCAACAGATCATGACATAGTGCACAGAGAGCTGCCTAACTTGCAGGGTCAGACACTTCGTGTGGCTACATTTCACTGTCCACCATTTTCCTACTACAACAAATGGAAGAATGTAAAGCACGGTGGCTTTTTACCACCGGGTAAGACTGAAGAAAATTTCTTACCCAAAATTATTGTGTTATAAAAAGACAGAACAATTTTATAGTATAAAAGATTATCAACTCCATCCCGTGCGATTGATAAATGTTTTTTCTCATTTTTTAATCTTTCATCCTTGACATGTTTCGGTTGGAGTGACCATCTTCAGAAGGACATATCAATACATGCGGAAACTACTATTGCAATGTGATTGGTCATTGTCAGTACACACAAACAATACTATTATAATATCATGAATATAAAATCTTCACCTTTAACAATTACAGCAATATGCTTGAATTTATTAAAATATTTATAAATTATTATAATTAATTTATTTACAAGTGTGGTTTAAAAAACTTTGCTAAAATCTAGAACCAGTTTTGTTCGTGTCCTTTGTACTGCTTCTCTTAAAAGGAAGATGAGTGTCTACCTCGTCACGGTTCAGTTGTTTGATGAATAGGACTCTTAGTGTCATCCAGTTGTTCAGGTCGCTCTGTGTTTTTATATAATCCCTTTCTATCAATATCTAATGTTGTTATTAGGAAGACGTCATGGAAAATTCATATATACTGTACATTTAAAAGGCGGGGCATGCAGTAGTGTAGTTGGTTGAGGCACTATGCCACAAGCCTTAAGGTCGTGGGTTGGAGTCCCAATTAGGTGAATTTGTCTGATTTACCTAATCCTTCCAGCCTCACTAAGGCCCTAGGGTCGACTCAGCCTCTAACAGAAATGAGTACCAGGGATCTTCCTGTGGAGCAGAGGGCAGCCGGCTTGTAAGGCTCACAACCTCACCGCCATCTCTGAGCTGATTGTTTAGAAAATGTGGAAACTTCGATATCCCACAACCCTGTGGGCCTCCACGGTCTGCTAGGGGGGTAGCTTTACCATTTTTTTTTACCAGTTACCTAACAATTAATCTATCATTTGAATTGCATAAATTCTTTACAGGAAGACTACAAAGTTAACTCCCCTTTCAGGAGTTCCAGATGGCGTAGAAATGGCTATATTCCTTGCTCTCTCCAGGAGACTCAACTTTACTTGGCAACTGCAAGATTTACATGGTGGAGACATGTGGGGTCACCATGATGCAAATGGCTCTTGGTCTGATGGGATTGTGGGGGTCATGTCGCAGAAATTAGCTGACATTGCTTTCTGTGGCATATACATAGAGAGAGAAATAATGAAAGAGTTTGACCTGACCATCCCTTGGACACACTACTGCCAGACATTCCTCGTTCCAAGGCATGGTCCGAGTTTCCGCTTTGCGTTCTTGCATACGTTTCAGCCTATTCTGTGGATTTTGATCACCATAGTGACGCTCTGCATTGCCCTCATATTCTGGTTGTTATCACACTTTGAACAAAGTAAGTACATTTGCAGTTCTCAGCTCCGTTCTGAGCAGAGAAACTGTAATGGCCCATCACTTCTTACAGCTGTATGAACTGTATTGAATACATACAGAGAACTTCTTTTGGCTTGTTTTGGACTTCATCCATCGTATGGTATGTAAAAGACAAAAAGACCACGACATTTCGGGGACTGGATCTGTGTCCATCTTCAGGTGGGTAGGGAAGGATAAACCTACTCAGTTAGTCCGTTAGAAAGAGCTGGTCTCAATCACTGGACCTTATTTTATATATACCAGACGATGGATGAAGTCCAAAACAAGCCAAAAGAAGTACAGTATACACCATTGTCAGAATCCTTTCAAGTATAATCAACATAAATAAAAATACATTCCTTTGTTTATGGTTTAATTACTGTGTGTGTGTGTATGTGTGTGTGTGGAGCAGACTGCTGGTTGGTTGGCAGCTTCTGTCAGATAAGAGAGCAACATGCTACTATGCAGATTTAAATGAAGTTACATTGAAAAATGTTTTCAGTAAAGCAACTTCATATTAAAATAACAGCTAAAATATGTTTTATTTTCACTACTTTCTAAGAATTATTTTATGAAATGTACACAAGAAATATTTGTTATTCAATATAAAATTTGGATTTTCATACTTTTTATCAAAGACTCTCTGGGAATTGAGGGTAAAAAATGTGAAAAACTATTTACATTTATTTTTTACTTCATGGATCCTATCATCTCGTAGGGCTGGATATAAAACATGTCACATATTACAAATTCTTGATGACTACACATCATTCATCCTTGGTCCAATAAAATATATAATCAAGCCTCACACAGACAGCTCAAGTTGTCAAGACAGCACACACAGGTTGTAGAAAAACCACTGTCAAATTCACACCTTGCCATTCCACACGCTGGCAAGCTGTATCATCCAAACAGTTACATTATAAAATATTAAAATTCATAACAAACACACACAAAACATCATACATACTACTGCACTTACAACAAGCAAGTCTCAACAGTCTATAATTTATGCACACAGACCATTTATTAACTCTTAACTTTTGAGCCCCTTGCATGCTCGACAAATTCATCAGTAGAGTAAAATGCGTTACTTTGCAAATAATTTCGTAAAACAAACCTAAATTGCTTCATGATTTATTTTAACCGTCTTCCAGTGCATACACTCATCTGTCTCCTCCTCTCACTCGCACTACGTTTTTCGGCACAAAAGTGCCATCTTCAGGTGTTTATTCAATTTACGCTAAACTAGTTCATTGCATGCCTTGTCTTCATATTAAAATAACTAAAATATATATTTATCATATATATTGATAAATGTTAAATGTTAAAAATATTAAAATTGTTCAGGAATTTTTTCTTCCCTACGTCGTATCTCACTACGCGAGTCACATCTATCCTCTTCTGTTGGAGCACTCTTTCACTATCGTGTATTATTGTGCTTTGTGTTGTTTCTTGCTCATGTGACTGCGTGTGTTATACTGCTGGGCTTGCTGGCTCAGCAGGCCCAGCAGTATAGATGAGTATGCACTGGAAGACGGTTGAAATAAATCATGGACTTAAATCAGTGCAACAGGACGCTAAAATATAACACTAAATTGCTTTTTCATCTAATATTCTAGAGGGGGCTCACACCCTCCCTTTCCATAGACCCGGGTACCAGTGATGTATAGAAACATGAGATAATATTTAAAAACCATATATATTCAAAAATAAGCTTTACCTCATTCTTATAAATTCCCCTTGGCCAGTAAGAAGGTTACAAGGGAGAGTCAGTAAATATGTTTTCTGTGTGTATCACTAGGTATCAGCACAGTCTAGGTAGCAGATGTGCATGTGCATATTCAGAACCTGGTTTCAGTAGTCAAAATGGCTTTAGGGTATACAACAGAAGAGCAGAGTTCTCGTTTGCTATTTTGTGAGAAAGGGGACTCAATGCAAAGGATATTCATAAAGAAATGTTTCCTGTTTATGGCGGAAGTGTTTGTTGCATAAAGCGGTTCACATCTGGGTCAAGAAATTCTCTCTAGGACGTTCCAAAGTCTCAGATGATGGCTGACCAGGTCACCCTATGAGATTGCTACAGACACAACTGTGTGGCGGTAGTGTTATGAATGTTTACTGCAAGTTTTCTACTTATATTTTGTGAAATATTATTAAGAAATATAAAATTCGTGAATTTGAAATGTTAGCTTTGAATCACGTGATGTTTGAGGTTCTCACCACAGTGAGTACCATGATTGTTGTCTTCTGGGATTTGATGGTATGTAGTCTAGTAAATAGGTACCAATATTTTGGAGGAACCAACAATCTCCATCAAACTAAAGAAGTGATATGTTCCATGCTTATACACAGTATGTATACTTTTCAGGGCCACAAGGAATTCTGGACACTATGCTTACTGCTGTAGGCATACTGTGCCTTTCAAGCTTTCCTGGTCTACAAACTCAGTTGGGAAGTCTGCGTCCTCTTGTGGCCTCATGGTCTCTCTTCAGCTTGTTGCTGACCACTGCTTTATCAAGTGGTCTTGTGTCACACCTAACCCAGCCTGCACCTACTACACAGCTTAATTCAGTACGTGACTTGGTGGAATCAGGCTTAACTTGGGGCCAAGCCTACACACAAGAACATTCAACCTTTTTCAACTTAGAGGTAATGAATTTTGTTTAGTATGATAGATAACCACAATACAGTTTGTACTACTAGCTCTGGTAGAGAAATTCAACTCCTCTCAAGTCCTGTTGACTGGCTGTGACTTGTGTAATTAGAGGGGTCTTGGGTATAGGAAGGTCAACACTCAACACCAATTAGCAGTTTCAAGTCTTTATTTGAATTGCACTATTCAAGTGATAAATGCGCTGTAGTGATCAGTTTAATTGATTACTGGATTTAGGTTCTGTTGCTGAATACCAGGCCACACTAGTCTGAGAAGAACTTCTTGAAGAAATTCTGTAACTTATAAAAAAAACTCAGTAGTCTTAAGATCTTCCATCCAGTTGACTATGGAAATAAAATCAGACACGGCCATCGTCAGGTGTTGTCTGTATTACTAAAATTGTTGCACTATATGTCAAAATCATGTATCACATGTGAATGCGATATTTCCTAGTTAAAATAACTTAACCTTGAATTAAAATAAATTACCTTCTTAATATTTATCTATTTTGGTCATCATCTGTTCATTTAAAAGATTCTGTAACAGATTTTAACAATGCGTTGCCAGGCAACAACTCAGTAAACACAGTCGAACAAGCAACAGTAGAAGAAGGTGTGTTTACTGTAGGTCCATGTCCGTTCCCCGGCTGTATAGTGAGAGCTGTGAGCTGTAAGTTCAGAGCGAATTGGAACTAAGAGTACAGAAGTTGGCCTGTGAAGACTTAACATGTGATTAGAAGACTTTATGTGTAATATTTGGAGCGTGTACTTCAGTTAGATTGTTATAGTTCCTGTGTTATAAATGCATGAAGACTAGTGCAGATAGACTGAAGATATTAGTGTGGAGTGATTGTAAATTTTGTAAAACAGCAATAGTGTAATAATTAATTGTAGTTACAGTATAATAATAAATAAAATAAATAATAATAATAAAACATAACAAATGTTCACATTTCATGTAACATCAAACTTCATAACATATTTGAAGACTAACCAAATTTTATGACCAAATTTTTATTTTTTCAGGATCCCTGGCATGCTGAATTTGCCATCCGTTTTAAGTTGGAGTCCTACCCGCATGAGAGAGAGTCCCGTGTAAGGGAGGGTCACTATGCCATTCTAGGTGGAAAACTTGATGGTTCTGAACGCTACTTCATGGAGGGAGACACTTTGAAGGACACAGGGCTGTTGTCACAATTGCGAGTCATGAGCGAGTGCCTGATTTGCCAGTATGCAGCACTGGGACTCACAAAGGTGAGGTGTATTTGAGTGCACATATTATGTTCTAAATTCATACATTCCATAATTAACATGTTTAAAACCAAATGTCAGTTGTCTAAACATGAAACTTGTCACCTTTGTACCCATGTGTGGCCAATCATACACTGGCAATGATGTAGTTGTCAGGCTTATGTTTTTAAAAATGAAATCATGTTTTCAAGCAGTTCCACTACAGTCCCTTTCTGTAGACTGAATAAGTAATGCTAATGCTAAGTAGTTGTAACCACCGAGTGTTACGCTGTATTATTATTACTTCAGTATTTTATTTATGAGGTCGGCAGTTTGGATCTCAGCTGGGAGAGTAAAATATGTTGTCAGTGGTATATTATAAAGGTTAGGGGATTTTCTATGGATTTGAAATTTAAAAATCTAAGCATTACTGCATTTTGGATGCTAAAGATGAATATCTTTAATGGACCTTACAGATCAGGCATGTTTTCTACCAATTTTCCTCTGTTCTATCTGAAGACAGACTGAGAGCCAGTCTCTAAAAGACAATAATTTGTAGAATTATATTCTAAGAAAATACACTAAGAATAAGCTATACTGAGGTCCTGTTCAGTTCCTTCAAGCAAATGCTGGGTCAGGAAGCCATGCCTGAAGCATCTTTGAGGGAGATGATCAGAGAGAGAGAGATCTCCATTATTAGAAGCTACTAGATTTTATTTTATATAATTTATTTCATACAATATATTTCCATCTACAATGCAACTTATTATTTTCCCCTTTCCTTCTTACAACATCTTTCAGCCACACATGGTCATGATCAGGTGTCTCTAATTTGCTCAAATTTATGCACTGTATGGTATGTCCAACTTCTCGTATCACATGAGAATGCGATATCTCTTAATTTAAAATAAATGGATTTTACAGAGACAAAAACAACACCGTCCAGTGTGATTATTTAGGTTTTATCACTTGAAAACTCATCACCCTTACATGTTTCGATCCCTACAGATCATCCTCAGAGGTCATCAATACTTTTTCCGGAAACTACTATTACAATAGGTGTTAAATTATATACATACACACATAATGTCTGAACACACAATGTACACAATGTTCAACTTTTCACAGTCACAACAGCCTTCCTGGTGTTAAAATTGTTTAAAGTTTTTTTAAAAACTTTGTTGTTTAAGATTAAAATTTATAAACCATGCAGGTTCGTGCCAATTCTCCTATTGTCTTTCTTGGAGGTGGCTGATCTTGTGCCGCCTATCTATCTTGAGGAAGGAGATTCTTAGTATTGTCTATGTTTTTCGTGGCCTGCTGTGTTGTTTCTGTCTTTGTAATTGTTAGTGTGACGGACCAGAATGAAACAAATAAAAGGAAATGGATTTTAATTAAAATCGATAAAAACTAGTAACAATTTAGTTAAAATTTCAATATTTTGCTTGGGGTTGTTGTCCATTCATCGAAATGACATTGTTAGAGGTTTGCTTGTTTGGATTTACTTGCACATCATTATGGATGTTTGTGTGTTATTGTGTAGTGTCCTCGTGTGTTGGTGTAGTTATCATGTATGCTGCTTTGACTTTAGGTTCTTCACCCTGCCATTGTTATAGTGTTGTTCATCGTTCTGTGTATGTAAACTACTATTACATAAAGAAAACTGTGTGATGATGATTGAGCTGGATGGAAACATGTAGAGGATACAGAATAATAAACAAATATTAATACAGCAACTCTGGTTTATTTATTGGAATTTGCTGTATTGAAGTACCATATAATTCTAAATACTGCATAAATTACTTCTTAAAAGTAAAGGTAAAAGAAAAGATCAAGTCACTCTTATACCTAAGCACTCTACCATGTATATATGTACAGGAAATCAGAGCTAAGCTTCCATCCACTCTTCACCTCAACACCAGATGGAAGTAACTGGCCAGCCTCATGCTCTAGTTTATGTACTCTTGAAGAAAGCACCAGACCCAGTCTGATCATAATGAAAAACAAAAATTCCTTTCCCTTGAAGGAATTAAATTGTAGCCATCCAAACAATAATACAAATTCAGGTCAAAACTTTGTTACTCAACAGTCTTATGTTTGCTATCCATAGGGGTCATCACTCTTGCAGCCTGTAAATTGTGTCCTTCGCTGGTTACTGGAAGCGGGTTTGGTGGAACACTGGCAGACTGACTTGGTGCAAGATTTTGGCAACCCAGAAATCAAGGCTCTTTTCCAGAAGGCACAATGGAAAGGGCCCCAGCAACTTAGTTTAACACACCTTGAAGATGTGTTTATGCTGTTATGCATTGGCCTTGCAGCAGCAACCCTTGTGTTCCTGACAGAAATCTGTTATTCCCATCTTACACTTGAATGATCAGTGTGGCAGGAGGAATTTGTACAATGACACTTCAACTGCTAATGTAGATGATAACTTCTGCCCACTGCTGACAAACCATAAACAAATTCCCATGCATGAACTGCACTGCTTGCCATGAAACATAGTGCAATCAAACGTCCCACAAAGTTAATAACTTCCCTTCAGTCTAAACATTATCGGCCATCAGCATACTGCTTCATCAGCAAAATTTTTATGTGCCTCACAGCCGGTGCAGCACACGTCACCATGAAGCGCAAAGCCATGAACCATTCAACAAAGTTAAGAACCTCCCTGTGTATCAGATAATATGGGTTAAAATACTTTTTCCCCAAGTGAACCCTTAACAACAGAGCAGAATACTGAAATCTTACAAGCTGCTTATCGAGAAGAAACGAGAGCTGTTTATTTGCCTTGCTAATTACATCATACACTGACAGCATCCAAGGTATACATGTAAACACATTGCAAATGAAGTATTTTTATCATCAGGACACAGTTCAAAGTGGTATGGTACAGTTGTCATTTGTTACACTGAATATAAAACTACAAGTTCTATGCATTTCAAAGAAAAGACAACAAAATGTATGAAAATAAAATAATTGTAAAGAAACATTTGCTAATTATGCATATTAACTTGTAGTTTCCAAATGTCCTACAGAGGCACATAGATTCATTCTTATAACCCAATTTTTATTTCGTTTCTAGCTTAAACATTAAGAAATACAATTTATTTTCGAATGCTCAAAATCTGAGAAGATTAAAAGCTGCTATTTAATAGGGCCAAAACCAAAAGCCTGATATTTAAAATCCAGTACATGAAATGTTAATATAAGCCACATATTTTCTTCTGTAGATCTACTACCATACATTATATGACCCCACTATTATATGTCAGTCACACCTCACAATTTTTTTAAGAAATTAAAAAGTATGAATTGTGGGTGGTCTCAAATGGCACAGTGTTAAATTTTGTGAACATCAGCTGGTTTAAAAGTTCAAAGGGCAACACATAGCATGGTGAACATATGAGCCTGCTTTCTTTCTTTATGATGGGAAAGTAGGCTGATAATTGTAACATTCCTAGCATGACTTTCCAGCTTAATGTCAGAAAGCTGTTGATGTCACTGTGAGAGCAGAAACAAAGATAAAAAGTGAACTCTCTGAAAGAGGAAAAGTTCTATGCTGAAACACATCACCTTAAAATTAATTTGAAAATGCCTTGACCAAGACAGAAAGGCCTGGAGAAGATCTGAAATATTGGATAAAACTGCATGCAGAGTGAAAGCACTCAGTGCAAGAAGTGCTCATGTAACTCCTTAAGATTACGCTTGCTTGCTTAAGGAGAACTGGTATTGTGTGAGATCTGAGGTTCTCATGGCAGTGATTATGAACTGTCTTCTTCCATGAGATGCCCTGCAGGAGATGGACACAGTATGTTCCCCCAAAATATCAGCAAATATCTGAGACTACGTGGCATCACATTGCTCTCTCAAACCTGCCGTCTAAGTGCAATGTTATTCACTGTTCTTTCTTCGTATTCCTTTATTGGACACTACGTGTTCTAACTGGACATCTTCAGGTGTACAGGTTGTTATGGTTTAAGATTTTGCTGCTTACTCTAATGCAGTTTTCTTTCCTCCTACGGTAGTTTTCTCTGGTTATTTGTTTATGTGGGTTAACAGGGGTCTTATTTAGGTGTCCTTGGGTTGCGCGTGGTTGCTTTTCTGTAATGCTTGATGCATTATGTTAGAGCTCTCTATAGCTCTCTTAAAACTTCAGCTGATAACTAATTTGTATATATTTCCCAGCAGACAAATAATGACAGATGTAGATAATTGCAGATAAACAGAATACTTGGAATCTTTTTTATTATGTTTTCCAATTTTTCTGACAAGCATTCTGTAGTAAAGTGATAAACTCAAGCTTAATGTACAACACCATGTAAACAGAAATTACATCTATCCTCCAACTGTACCAAAAAGCATTATATTACGGTAGTTCTCAGGCTTCAGGACCACAGATCTGATAGGACATCTGATATTTCATAAAATAGCTGTTAAAGTTTCTTGATAAAAATGAGATCACAACATAAAAACATCAGGAGTCTCTTCTTTCAGCATCACTCTGATCCTTATTCTGACAAATACCCATTTCTTCATTCCATAATCCTAATTTCATAAGTACTTTTACTATTATGCCTTCATTATTAGAATAGCTGAGGATATTTGTGCTGGATTTCTTCAGAACTTTACTGAAATACACAGATAAAAAGGATACAATTGCCAGGAAAAATTGCCTGATCAGTGGAAGGAGCCTATTATTGTACCAGTTCACAAGAAGTGTGCTAAAACTGACTGTAGTAATTATCAGGGGATATCACTGCTCTCAACTGCATACAAAATTTTATCCAATATTCTTCTCTCAAGGCTAAGTCCATATATCACATATAGATGAAATTATTGGGGATCATCAGTGTTGGTTTCGACATAACAGATCAATTACAGATCACATCTTTTGCATTTGTCAGATACTGGAGGAAAAATGGGAGTACGATGAGACAGTACATCAGCTATTCATAGACTTCAAGAAAGCCTATGATTCAGTTAGGAGGGAAGTATTGTACAGTATTCCGATAGAGTTTTGGATACCCATGAAACTAGTTAGGCTGATTAAAATGTGTTTAAACAAAACGTATAGTAAAGTCCATATAGGTAAACATTTGTCTGATAAATTTCCAATCCAGAATGGTCTAAACAGGGAGATGCTTTATTGCCACTCCTTTTAAACTTTACTTTAGAATATGCCATTAGGAAGGTCCAGGAAAACCAGGTGGGACTGAAATTAAATGGGACACATCAGCTATTGGTCTAGGCTGATGATGTGAATCTACTGGGCGATAATATAGCTACCATAAAGAAAAACACACACACTTTAATTAAAGCAAGTAAGGAGGTTTGTCTAGAAGTAAACACAGAGAAAACTAAGTATATGTTGCTGTCTCATAACCAAAGAGCAGGGCAAAATCATGACATAAAGGTAGGCTACACATGTTTTGAAAATGTGGCACAATTCAGATATTTGGGAACAACGATAACAAAGCAAAACCTGATTCAGGAGGAAATTAAGAGGAGATTGAATTAAAGTAATGCTTGGTACCATTCAGCCCAGAACCTTTTGTATTCTTGTCTGCTGTCCAAAAGCATAAAAATTAGAATTTTGCCTGTGGTCCTGTATGGGTGTGAAACTTGGTCTCTTGACATTAAGGGAGGAACGTAGACTGAGGGAGTTTGAGAACAGGGTGTTGAGAATATTTGGACCAAAGAGAGATGAAGTGACAGGAGGTTGGAGAAAACTGCATAATGCGCTTCATAACTTGTACTGGTCTTCAAGTATAACTAGCATGTAGCACAAATGGGGGAGATGAGTAATGCATATAGGATACTGGTGGGAAAGCCAGAAGGAAAGAGACCACTGAGAAGAACAGAGGTAGATGGGTGGACAATATTAAAATGGGTCTTTGAGAGATAGGATGGGATGGTGTGGATTGGATTGATCTGGCTCAGGATAGGGACCAGTGGAGGACTCTTGTGAACACGGTAATGAACCTTCGGGTTCCATAAAATGCTGGGAAATTCTTGAGTGGCTGCAGAATTAAGGGCTCAGCTCCATAAGTTAAGATACTATGGATTACGTGAAAAAGGCGGGATATAGGAGATGGCATGAACACTTGGATACAGTTACAAAGTTTGTCAAGAGATGACGCTCCGATGTAGGTCTGGAGCGTTCGGTGGTAAATTTCGTTGTTCTTTAAACGCCCATGGAGAGTACGCCATTTTACGCTAACACAACCATGTCCGTATGTACAAATGTACATGACATTGGCGCTTGCGCGTGTGCTGAGTCCCTCTGTCGGTCGCTCTAGCTAGACGAAGTTCACATAGTTAAGCCGGTCGCCGTTTGCGAAAGAGCTCCTGCTCTTGGACAACGTTATCAGTTTAGTGTTTCCAGCGGTTTGGTGTCTGATCACATATAAGTTATTTTTAATACTGCATTACAGCGGTTGAAAGATTGATAGACATGGAAGGAGAGTAATTATACTCTGTTTGTCAATATATTACTAGCTATTTCTAGTGAAATTACTAGATGTTTTTTGTTAAAACAAGACTGCAGTTTATGCAAAACGTAAATGCACCAGTGCAACGTATTTTACTGCAAATTCATATTTGTGAAGATAATGACAGTTTTGGAGATTTAGCGAACTCCTTTCTATCTTATTAGTATTAAATTGTTAGTCGGACGTTAATAATATTTTTTTGGATCGGTTATAACCATCACGACTTTCAGTTCAATCAACTGTGATGAGCACATATCTTTGACAGTGTTAGTGTGAACAGTGGTGTATTCAGTTGGAGTGATTTCAATTGGGATCGTACATGCATCTACAAGTAATCACGTGTTTTAGTTTCATCTGCAGGAGTTAATCTTCGTGGAGAGGAATTTATTTAGCCATAACACAGTTATTTTTTGTGTGTGTTGTATAAGTGAAGTGTATGCGTGAAGAAGGCCAATTTTACCATTATGTGAATGAGGTGAATACTAGACAACAAGACTGCGTTGTGTGCAAACGTGGTTTATGAATCAGCAACCGTAATAATCGTGTTAATAACTACTTAACCCAACGATATAAATTAATGCTTTCTGTTGCATTGATATTACGCATTTAACCAACTGCCCCATTTACTGGGACTACGAGTGATCGTGTGGCATCAGTGAAACTTGTCAACGCTGGGAAATGCACCTACGGCTCTTCTTGCTGCCCGTAATCTGATGCATTGCACATCGTCGAAAATCTAACGGCTTCAGTACTAGGTATGTATTCGTTCATTGTCAATTTTGTCTCTTCTCTCTGACCGCTAAGTCGCCGAAGTGAAATAGTAATTGAAGCAGAACATGATGCATAAGTGTGTAAGGCTGAGTTGGGCGTCAAATGAAGCATACGTACGCACTATACTTGTACGAGTATTTACCGCCAGATCTTTGGAACTCGTCATTATTGATTGGTTCTTGATTTACCTAATGACACTTTTTCAGCTGTACAAGTTTTGTGACGTCGATTGTGAGTAATGAAACGGAGTGGTATTAACATTTGCCCGGGAAAACAAGGAAGGACGACAAAAATTGGCGGCATATTTGTTATTCGGGCCGATATTCGAAACCATGAGTTTCCGAATGCGGAACAGGAATGCTTACCAATAGACACCCCCCCCCCCCCGTTTTATAAATATATTTACATTCTACGTCTACTCTCTTT